TTCAGTGGATAAATCCAACATTAATAAATATAATAGAGAACAAGCCTGAGAGGTTGGGGTTGTTATGTGGTTCATGAGTCTGAGATTTCAATAATCATTATTGTCACCATCATCATCACCACTACCACCATCAGCACTATCAGTACCACCACCACCACCACCACCATCACCATCATCACCTATAATAAGAATTGCTAAACGGTCTTATTAATAAAAAACCTGGAACCAAATATTGGGGTGAAAGCTGAAAGATCAGAGAAACAAAACAAGCCAGCCACGTTCTTACCTCTATGGAATCTTCAGCCTCAAGAGAGTGAGTTCCTGTTTCCTCACGCCTTATATACCTTTCTCTGCCCAGACATCACTTCCTGGGATTAAAGGTGTGTGCCACCAGTGCCTGGCTCTGTTTCCAGTGTGGCCTTGATCTCACAGAGATCCAGACTGATCTCTGCCTCCCGAGTAATAGGATTAATGGTGTGTGTCATCACTGCCTGACCTCTATGTCTAATCTAGTGGCTGGCTCTATCCTCCGATCCCCAGGCAAGTTTATTGAGGTACACAATATATCACTACAATCACCACCATCATCACCATCATCATCATCATCATCACCACCATCCGTCATTCTAGGAAAGGAACACAAAGACCTTCATGTTGATTTACTTGAAGACCACAGGCAAATAAATCACAATTTGCCGATTTTGTTCTCCTGATGGGTAGAATTATGTGTAGGTTGGGGGTTAGTGAAATGAGAATTGGGAAAGGAGAGCTGACTGGGACTCTCCCAGAGCTTACCGCCTGAAGTCTTTGGGCCCCTCCCCATCTGCCTCCCCACCACAAACCATGCGCAGTAGGATATCATTCATAGCAAGGTCGCTGGGAACTCTTAGGATAGCCAGGGCCACTGCCTTGTGAGAGCAGACAGTTGAGAAAGCCAAAGTCACAGAGATGTAGTCGCAGTGGGTTTCAGAGTTTTCATTCCCAGCACCGAGGCATTTTTTGAAATCACTTTTCTGTTGTTCAGTAGTGTGTTGCTTCCGTGTTGGGTCCTATAATTTTTTTCAGACGCTACACTGAAATGAAATACCATCCCTTCTGCTGACTGGAGCTTTGGGTTTCTGCAGGGTAAGAGGCCCCAGCTCAGCACCCAGGCAGCACCACTGTGCAGCCACCAAGCTCGCTGTTGGCTGCTCTCCTCTCAAATTTGTTTCCACACCTTCCTCTGCCTCCTTAGTGCCACTCACTGCCCACAGTTCCTCCCCGTCATCCCACCCTGGTTCGTTAGCACGCCAGCCTCTCCATCCTTCGACACCATTTTTTTTTTTTTTTTTTTTTTATCCAATGAAGGAATTGGACCATCTAGTAAAGCCCTTCTGCAGGCTCCCACCATCCTCCACTCAGCACCTACACACCTTCCATTCTGCCTCCCTTCCTGTGGCGGTACAGGACGGGTCCCGCCCCAGCGAATACCACCTTCCTTCCCACACCTGCTCAGAGGCCTTGGGTGCTGACAGCATCATCTAGCTCCGATTCTCCTCTCCTGGATCACTGACATCAGCATTAAAATTTATCTCTCCCCGGGAAGTGGTGGCACACGCCTTTATCATCTCAGCACTTGGGAGGCAGAGGCAGGCAGATTTCTGAGTTCGAGGCCAGCCTGGTCTACAGAGTGAGTTCCAGGACAGCCAGGCCAACACAGCAAAACCTTGTCTCAAAAAACCAAAAAACAAACAAACAGACCAAAACCAAAAACCTATTTCTCCCATCTTGAAATAAAAAAGAACAAAAATGTCTTTTAAACTGTTTCAAGAATGTTCTAAATTGTGATGAAAAACCTCCACATGACATGAAACTAAGTTGCAATTGTCTCTAAGCGTAAGTTCGAGTCATGTTGTGCAGCTGATCTCCAGAGCTGGCAAACGTGAAACTCTGAACTCTAAACAGCTCTTCACTTCCTCGGCCCGAGCGCTGCAATGCCCGCCACTCTCCCTGACTTCTGACTGTGTAAATGGTGACCCTGCAGAGCCGGGTGTCCAGACTGTCCTTCAGACTGCCCTCAATTCTTTCCTGGGAGCGTGTGCTGAGCCACCGGGCTGTGTGGTGGTTCCACTTTGGATTTTCAAGGAACTTTCTTCCTGATTTCCACAGTGACCACACCATTTTACATTCTCAGTATACAAGTGTCCAGTTTCCCCACGACCTTGCCCACGTCGCTATTTTGTGTTTTGATTTTCCTTTTGACGGTGTGAGGTGGCACCTATTGCTGAGTAAATCCTTCCACTCTACTTCTCCCCAGTGCTGTGGCTTGTTATTGTTCCTCTCTGTGACAAAACTATAACGTGTTGGCTTTATTTCCTGATTCCAATGTCTTTTTCCATCATTTCCTAAGTTTATTCCAATGGGAACCATCCAATTTAAAATTTTCAGGGCATCCGGGTATGTGGTGTCATCCTTACACAACCTGAAGCCTTTCTGTCCCCCATCCTCGGAGTCACTCATGGCTTCTCTACCCAGACACATTCCACCTTCCAAATGTGTCCAGAAAAAGCCCCATCGATCCTCGCCTGCACAGCTGCCACCCGGATCACCGACAGTCACCTCTCGCTCATCTCTAGACTAGTATACTGTGTCCCTGGAAGCCTCTTTTGGACATGAGGGGTCAGAAGGATTAAGTGTTAGTGGCCTGTTCAGAAGTCTTGGGGAGGTCGCCGGAGGCCTGGCGTGTCCTCCAAAAGCAGGCACAGTCTCACTCTTTACCTTTTCCGCCTTGCGCCCTCCTCCTGCCTCGGGATCTTGTTGGATGTTCTCATTGCCAGGAAGATTCTTCCCCTAGACAGCTGTGTTACTTGTTCAATTCAGTCTTTATACAGTGTGACCCAAGCCATTCCGTGTTAAAACTTCACAAAGTGCACCCCTTCGGTTATTTCCCAGACCCCCCCCCCCATCATTGCCAGTCCCAGCCCGGCTCACTTCCTGACACTCCAAACACGTGTTGTGTTTGTTGCTCCCCTGCCCCATTACAGTAGTAGCTCCATGAGGGTAAGTTTTGGTTTGCTTTATTCCCAGTTATGTCACAAAACAACTACTCTGTCTTGAAACAGGATAATTCATATCTGTCATGACTAAATAGACAAATATAGCAAATTGGTTGTAATGGTTTCAATGAGAAAGGCCCTCATAGGTTCACATGTTCGAATGATTAGTCACCAGGGAATGGAACTGTGTGGGAAGGACTAGGAGGTGTGGCCTTGTTGGATTGAGTGCGGCCTATTGGAGAAGGTGTGTCACTGGGAGTGGGCTTTAAGGTTTTGAAGGCCCAGGCCAGGCCCAGTCTCTCTCTGTCTCTGCTCACTGCCTGCTGACCAGGATATAAGCTCTCAGCTACTGCTCCAGCACCATGCCAGCCTGCTTCCTGCCATGATGATCATGGACTAACCCTCTAAACCTGTAAGCAAACGCTCAATTAAATGATTTTTTTAGAAGAGATGCCTTGGTCATGGTGTCTCCTCACAGCCCTAGAGCAGTGACCGAGACAATGAATGCACAGTATTTGGAGTACTCTGTCTCTATGTGGCCATTGAGTACTCTGTTTCTATGTGATGACTGAGCACTCTGTCTCTGTGTGACCATTGAGCACTCTGTCTCTGTGTGACCATTGAGTACTCTGTCTCTGTGTGACGACTGAGCACTCTGTCTCTATGTGACGACTGAGTACTCTGTCTCTGTGTGACCATTGAGCACTCTGTCTCTGTGTGACGACTGAGCACTCTGTCTCTATGTGACGACTGAGCACTCTGTCTCTATGTGACCATTGAGCACTCTGTCTCTATGTGACAACTGAGTACTCTGTCTCCATCACTGTTAATGAGACATGCAGCGTTTGGAGCACCTTTCCCTCATCACTATTACTAGTCCATCCTAGAAGTCCAGAAGCATGTTAGGATGTGGATGCATGTGAATTAACAATGGAAAACAACACCTGCCTGTCCAAAGTGTGCTCATGGATCTGCAGAGACATCCCACCTAGGGGCTCATTAGAATGTGGAATCCGATCCCAGAACTCAGAATCAAAACTGGCATTTTTGTGAGACCCACAAGAGATTGCTTGAAAAAGTTGAAAAGCTTGGGGATGCAGCAAGTGCTCTTGAACTGTCTCTACACACTGAAAAAAATCGAAACTTTGGAAACTCCTGATGCCTAGGGGTCCACTCTTGTAAATTGACTTGATTCTTCTGGAGTGGGCTCCCAATATGAGTCACTGGTGAAAAGGAGGAGCTATTGACTTATTCCATCTTCAAACTGAATCCACCATCTGTCCCCATTTATCCCCCACTGGCGTCCATCACTCTGATCCAACCTAGTGCAGGTGCAGAGAGGCTGATTGACCCAATATCATTGACTTGTACTTCCCTTAGTACAAATTCCACCTCTTTACGTGTGGTTTCGGGGGAGACCTTCACAGGTGGTGGCTGCCCATTCCTGTCCCATCCAGATTGTGTCCGACAGTCTGCCACAGGAAGTCACCTCTGGACAGCTTGTCAGCAACCTGGAGAGTGCTTCTGCATGCTGTGAGCTCATCAGAGAGTGGGGAGGGCATCATGGTCCATCGCCTGGTGGATGCAGGGAAAGCCCTGTGGCCAGGACTCTACAGAGCACAGAGGTGTGGACAGGGCACTGCCCTGCAGGCTGCATCCTGTCCTCAGGGGGCGAGTGGCTTTTAACTCTTCATGCCTCTAGATGCTCCTATACCCACTTCCTGGTGCTGTCACTTCCTGGGTAGTGCCAATGTAAGGGTGAAGTACAGAGCTACCCTCTGACTATATAATCCAAATACGAATTTTGAACGTGAACTTGAATCTGAAGCTCCTTTCCCAAAGCTGAGAAGTAGAAAGGTGTAGACGTGAGAGAGTACTGAGGAGGATTAGCAGACACCCAGGAAAGACCGGGGTGGAATAGAGAGCAGGTCTAGATGTTCCCTGATTAAACAGACTCTCTTGCAGATCAAGCCTCCAGTGCTCATGACTCCCTTGGCTCTGTCGCCTCCACGGAGTACCCCGGAACCCGACCTCAGCTCCATCCCTCAGGATGCAGCCACCATCCCCAGCTTGGTGGTCCCACAGGCTCTCACAGGTGTGTCAGTGGAAGGGACTCCAGGGGCAATGGTTTTCTAGTAACAGTGTCCATTCATCTAGCAGTTGCGTTCTGAATCTAAGAATTTCTCTGAGACATTCCACTGGGTGTGATGGCGCACGCCTTTAATCCCGGCACCCAACACAGGAGGCAGAGGCAGGCTGATCTTTGAGTTGGAGGCCAGCCTGGTCTACAGGGCGAATTCCAGGACAGCTGGGGCTGCACAGAGAAACCTTGTTTCTAAGAAAGAAAAGAAATGTTTCCCTGAATAACCCAAGGAAAGATCTGGCGCAGAAGCTGGGCAGCAGACAGGACAGCCCTGGTCTCTGAAAGCCAGGTTTGGTTATGAAAACCTTTGTTTCCTGTGAACGTTGGGTTCAGCTGGTTGCTTTGGAACGGACAAGAGCAGTGGCTGCATCTGAGTGTGCTCACTTGAGTGTGTCCATGCTGCATTTGTGTTTCCAGTTGCTACCACATCCTGCAACCCCAACAGCCTCTTAATTGTAACAGTAGTTAGATGGCTACAGAGGCGCGCGCGCATGTGCACACACACACACACACACACACACACACACACACACACACACAGCCCCTCATCACAACTTCACTCCCTGCCCCCGTCCCGTTGAAGTCGGTTTAGTCCCTTCCCACTGCAGTGTAGACTAAACCTGTTAACACTGAGAAGGCCCTGCAGGCTGCAGCCTCCCCCCGCTCCACTCTCCCCTCCCGCCCCTTGATTCCACTCACCAGGTGCCGTACGTCCTAGGGTCCTAGCATATTCTCTTCCTCTATTCGGGGTGAGCTTCCTGTCTAGTCACCCCATTGCTACCTCACACTCAGCTCGGACATACTCTCCAGGAAGCCTAGCTGCCTTTCCTGCCAGCACCCCCCTGCCGTAGCCACCCTAGCTCTTCTCTTGGGTCTTGAGAGCCTGAGGTCTCACCTCAGCAGCTGAGAACTGAATAGACAGGACCCACATCACTCACTTGCGGGTACACAGGCCTGTTGTTAACTGCTTTCCAGATCGTCCAAAATGAGGGCACGTGGGAGCAGCAGCCTGAGGGAAGGTAATGACCTCTTGGGTTCGGAGGGAATTGCCTCCAAATTCCATGCTGCAGACCTGCCTGCAGATCTGAGCTGTCCCCTGGGCACTTCAGCCTCCGTCTCCTCATGAGCAAAGCCATAATAATAACACCCAACTCAGGCTGGCTTGATAACGTGGGAGGTGCCAGTCTGTTGTCCCCAATGTCTGTCCTAACATCCCCGAAGTCCTGCTAGTCACCTCAAGTCCTTCTTAACATTCCGCTAACCCGGCAGTGGTGGCCCACACCTTTAATCCCAGCACTGGGGAGGCAGAGGCAGGCGGATCTCTGCCAGCTCGAGGCCAGCTGGTCTACAGAGTGAGTTCCAGGAAAGGCGCAAAGCTACACAGAGAAACCTTGTCTCAAACAAAAACAAAAAGCAACAAAAACAAAAAACAACAACAACCAAAAATAAAAAAGCAAAACAACACTCCCCCGAACAGTGACCTCTGAGGTAAGACGCTTATGTCATGGGAGGAAGGACAGACACTTAAGACAGGCAATTGATGTGTGGAAGAAAATATGACCTTGTTATTAGCATTCAGTTTTTCTTTACTCTTGTAAAATTTCTATTTCTTGCATCTGTTTCACACTGTCAAAAATCCTCGGGAGACAGAAAGAACCTCTAGCATCACCACCGAAAGGGAGGAAAAGCATTCCCACCTGACTTGGGGTAGCTTTTCCCAAGACGGAAGCTAGGAAATTCTTCATCTGTTCAGGATCTGGCGTTGAGAGCAGAGAAGACTCTTTGAGCTCTTCTAAGCAGGTCATGATAACATTGTTGTGACTTCTTAATCTTCAAACAGCTGACCTGCCAGTAAGATCAGGACACATTGTATCAGAGCAGTCTGGAGTCGGGCTGACCTGGTGGGCAATTTCTGTTCAATTACAGATGAGACAGTTGTGAGCAGGCGTGTATGCCCTAATCACAGGTGAAATAGTTGTGACCGGGCACGTACGTTGCCTTAGGACAGAATGCAGTTGAACTTGTATCTCTAGTTCTGAGCCCCTCAACTGACTGCCCTGTTAATAATGACTTCACTGGGCAGTCCTCTCAGTAGAAATGGTTTCTCTAAAAAGGACCTATGATGGTCCCTGAGATGGGTCAGTGGGTAGAGGCACCCGCTGCCAGGCTGGCTCGGTGATCTAAGTTCAATCCCTGGACCCACATGGTGGAAGGAGAGAGCAGGAGAGAGCTGCCTCCCTCAAGCTGTTCTCTGATCTCCACATGTGTGCCTGGTACACACACACACACACACACACACACACACACACACATACACACACATACACACACACATACACACATATACACACATACACACACACACATACACACACACACACATACACACACATACACACATATACACACATACACACACACACACATACACACACACACACACATACACACACATACACACACATACACACACATATACACATACACACACACAATGTAAAAAGGGATTTATGAGCTTTTTATTTCCTTTTTTAACTGGAAAATTTATAAAATTCCCCACCGTGGTCTGCTCAAAATTTACTGAACATGGAAAACTTTTTTACAGGCTTTCTGGCATTTTTCTATAGATTTATGTTATATAAATATGATACTTACCTACAAATATATTAATACATAATACAATAGCATAGTTAAAATGTAAATGAACACAATTTATGTTCAAAATTTTATGATGAGATGTATTATCTTAAAAGTGTGGGGAATTTGGGAATGGAGAGGTGGCTCAGGGGTTAAGAGCGTTTGTTGCTCTTGCAGAGGATCTGGGTTCAGTTCCCAGGACCCACACAGTAGCTTATAACTGTCTGTAACTCCAGTCCCATGGGATCTGACACCAGGTCCAGGGCACATGGTACATAGACATATATAAATTAAAACACACCCAAACACATAAAAATTATTAATAAATCTTTTAAGTGTGGGGTTATTGATGGGCTTTGACCATTATTTCCTGAAATCATAAATAGCAATCCCATCGGAACATCATACTGCCTCTAGGATGATTAGTGTCACACCATTTTGTTTTTTATTGGTACAAGTTCACAGAGAAATGCCCTGCTGTCCTTGGAGGAGCAGAGGAGGATTTTTGTCACGTACCTGCCCAGATGGAAATACCTTTCTTTATATACACTGTCCTTATGGGCCACAGTAATTGTCTTCTGTATAGTTTACACAGTTAAAGGGGACCCAGCTATCCCTCTGCCCACTGCCAGGAGGTCACCACTTGAGCAAAGTTCTGACAGTTAGGAAGTACAGCTTTTTAGCCTTTTCACCTTCTTACACCAGGAGGATCAGTCCCATGTCTGCCCTCTGCAGTTTTCCCAAGGCCAGGGCCTGGTCCAGGCCCGAGATGTCCCCAGCCTAGGCAGCCTGCAGGCCTGATGCACTCGCAATGCTAGACATCTCACACCCACTGTTCTCTGTGCCCACAGTGTGCCTCTACATTAACAAGCAGGCCGATTCAGGGCCGTACCTGGAGAGGAGGAAGCTGCAGCAGCTTCCTGAGCGCCTGGGGCCTGAGCGGCCTGCAGCTGTCCTGCAGCAGGCGGTGCAGGCATGCATCGACTGTGCGCACCAGCCAAGGCTGGTCTTCTCCCTTGTCAAGCAGGGCTACCGCGGTGAGCTGGTGTCAGGTAAGGCATGGGGATTGGGAGGCATGCTGGGGGTCTCTCTCTGTAGCCATCTCCCAGTGGGGGCAGTGGGAGCGGCCAGAGCCTGTCCTTCACCTGCTGGGTCTAGGGCCTCTGTGAGCTTGTGAGCAGAATGCATCCCTTGGGACAACTTGAGAGACAGCTACCAGACCTGGACAGCAAGAATGACCTCCTGGATGACCTCCTGGATAACCCCTGACTCCTCGTCCTCCCCCACGTCCAGCACTGTGCCTCTGCCTTCAGGCATACCCACATGGTATGGTTCCAACCACAGTGGGTTTAAGATAAGATGGTACTTGTTCTTCGACCGAAATCCTCCACTGGTTCCTATGTCCAAGTAAAAGCCAGGGAAAGCAGCCATGGAGGTGCATGTCTGGAGTCACAGAACTATGGAGGCAGAGACAGGAGTGTGTTGAGTTTGCGGCCACTGTGGACCACAGAGCATTCTAAGACCTTGTGCTACATAGTGAGAGACTGTCTCAAAACCTAAAGAAAGGAGAAAAAAAGAGGAGGAGAGGAGGGAAGGGAAAGGGGAGGGGAGGAAAAAGGAAGAGAGGGGCCTTGGCTAGGTTCACGTGACTGTGTCTGACACCGGGTGATATTCAAGGGCCTCAGCAGATGCACAGACAGGAAGACCCGTGAACAAGGGCGAGGAGGAGAGTCTAGTCCCGGACCTCCTGGAGTTCCTCCGCTGCTCCATGTCTTCTTTCCCTGGAACATCCTCTTACCTTGCTCCTTCCTACAGAGTAGGGCTCAAGACAGATCTGGGGCCGAGGGAGGGTCCCTTGCTCTGTACTCCTCTATGATGCCACTTGTCTTAGAGGCTCTATAGCCCCTGCCCATGAGCTGGGAGAGCTGGTCCTGAGCCTGGCTTTCCTGCTCCTCCCTCTCCGTGGCCTCAGGGCCTTGGCACTGGGGAGAAGCAACACCAGAAGGAAGGAATGACTTGTGGAGTTCCAGTTGGCTGACGGAACTCCCAGGAAGCCAGAGAGGACCACTTTTCCTGATGCCTGGGAGAACGCTGTAGCCCTGAGCAACACCTCTTGCCTCCACCTTGAGGTCATTAAGTGTGGGGTAGCTTTTCATGTTCCAGTTGGAGATGGAGGTCCCACAATGCTGCAGGACAGCATCAGTGCGGCCCAGAGAGATGCGGGCCTCTGAAGAAACAGCGGGGTACCCACTCTGCATTTAGAAGCTGCTCCCCAAATACCCCGCAACAGCTAAGGAGGCTGCCTGGACTGCAGACACTCAGAGCTGAAGGAAGCAGCATCACAGAGCCGCACAACACCTCCCAGCATGGCTGTTGGGGTGCTCTGCCTTAGCCGTGACCCCAAGAGGGAGAATTTAGGAACGCAGGAGTTCCACATCCTTTTGTAAGAGACGGGATTTCCCCACTGTGTGCAATCCCATGGATACTTACAGAACACATGCATGACTTGGTGGATAGACCTGAGGTCCCGAGCCCCTCCACCTCAGGGCCAGTTTCTGGATCACTCAGCCTTTTAGACAGTGCCCACACTAGTAGGGGATTTGCAAAGTGTCCAGAATAAGCATAATGACAGCTCTGTGGCTGCCTCCTGGACCGGAGCCACTTGGGGTCTTAGATGAAAAGCAAGTGCCACATGGTGGACACGTGAACTGAAAAATCCAGTCGAGGGTTCTCCTTAGCTTCATCGTCGGCAACGAGGGACAGCAGCCTTCCGTCCCATCCTCAAGGCCAGCCAGGAGGCCCGTGTGGGAAAGACTTCCACAGGCCTAATCAAATGGAAAAATGGAATCTTTTGGTGTCTGGTTATAATAAAAAGTAGCAATAGTAGCCCCCACCATGGGCCAACCTTCAGGGCATATGGTGTAAATCAGCAGGCTGCCTGCTAGTGTTGCTGTGGAGAGGGGAAGCCTAGGGCAAAGCAGGGTGTCCTCTCTGAGGTGTCCTTGTGTGTCCCTCACATGGAGCTGGTGTGCAGTTCTGGGGTGAGGGGCTGTTAGGGGGCTGTGAGGCAAGAGACAGCACAGACAGTGCTCAGTGCTTCCAGAAACTGACGCCGCTTCTCGATTTGGTTACTGTCTGGAGCTGGAACCCGGTGTTGCTCTAGAGAGCCCCACCCCCATTTTAAAATATTTATCTTTAGTTTATGTGCATTGGTGTTTGGCCTGCATGTGTGTCTATAAGGGTTTTGGAGTCTCTAGAACTGGAGTTACAGACAGTTGTGAGCTGCCTTGCGGTTGCTGGGAATTGAACCCTGGTCCTCTGGAAGAACAGTCAGTGCGCTTAACCACTGAGCCATCTCTCCAGCCCTGAGTTAAAGACTGTTCTCTTGGGGGCTTCCCCTGAAATCCCCCTGGGGTCCTCGGGTGACAAATGGCATGTAGAATTGGAGACTTCAGGGTGAGCTCAGGTGTCTGTATCTACCTCCTCCTTCAGACACAGATAGGGATGGACTCCTGGGTAGAAATGTCAACAGGTACAATTCCACCAGGCGAGCACACAGCCACACTTCCAACGCTCTGCACACTTGGAGGGAATTACACCAGGCGAGCACACAGCCACACTTCCAACGCTCTGCACACTTGGAGGGTTTAAAATTACCGACACCCAGGAGCAGTGAGCTCACCCTATTCTCTGATTGGGTTTCTCTGCATCCTTCATTCATAAGAGGAAGCAGGACAGTTGGACAATGGCTGATTCTAGGGCTGGACCAGGATGAACCTGGAATATACTGAAGTGCCCTAAACCAAAAGTGTTGAAATGAACGGACACAGGAGTCAACACCGGTAGAGTTCCCAAAATGAAAGCTGGGACAATTTGAGGAACAAGATATCCTGGAATCATACCAAGTTTAACAAAATGACTGAGTAAAAAATAAATGGGACATGAGACAAGCTTTCCTTACAGAGGAATCGTATGTGATATGTGGGATTTGCTGCTCTCCAGATGAGGAAGTGGTACTAAACACCCCGAGACCTTTGGGAGTGGGCCGATTTAGTGACTTGGTAACCCAGGCTTAGTGGCTGGGCCCAGGGGCAGAATATGGAGAACAGAGTGTAAGGGCGTGGGACGCATCGGCTCCACTAAGTGTGGAAAGTTCACACCCCCCAGAAGTGCCCTGTGGGTATGACATGGCCCTGCTCGGTGTTCCGTGAAGGGTTCCTTGTCTCTGTAGTCCTTCTCCCCTGTCCCCAGTCCCATGACTCCTGCTGAGAGAAAAAATACCAGACCAAGGCAAACTGACAGACAGGTCTCCAAATCTGAGCAGAACTGGTCAGATCCGCTGCCACAGCCGTGAAAATCAAGGAAAGGAGGAGATAGAGGGCCATGATAACTCAAGCAGTGTGCTGTCCGGGGTAGGACCCTAGAGCGGGAACAGGGCGTTAGGGAGACTTCCATGCAGCTCCACAGAGCCCAATAAGATAAAAGGGAAATGAATCACCCTTCCGGCTTTCCGCGCCCAGCCCTGAGTTGCCCTTTCTGGTTTTCCAGTCTCTGCTTCCTTTGATGGAAAACAGCACCTGAGGAGTCTGCCCGTGGTGAACAGTGTGGGCTATGTCCTCCGCTTCCTGACCAAACTGTGCCGCAGCCTCCTGTGTGACAACCTCTTCAGCCACCTGCCCTACCCCGGGAGCCTCGGGGCCTCTGAGAAGACCCAGGAGAGAGAGGACGGGAGGACGGAGTCAGGTGAGGTGGACTTGCTCCTTCCTGCTGCAGGGGCCCTCCCTCACGGTTGGCAGATGAGGCAGCTGCTGAGGAGCGTGGCTGTCCTCTGGAGGCCCAGGCCCATTTCTCTGGGCTCCCAGGAGGACTCCCGACTGACTGGAACTCAGGTGTCCAGACTATTCCCATCCTATACTCCAGGGAAACATGGTCTCTCCAGCTCCTGAGAGCCGACACTCGAGCTTTGCAGCCTGCATGATTAGAATTTAGACTATGACACCACATCACATCTTCCGAGTGATTTTCTTCCCCCTACTGTAAGGAAACTCTGGGTAACTGCTCATCATTGTTGAGTAATTGAAGAACTCTGAAACCAAGGAACTAAGCAATCCCAAAGAATATAGGCTGATGGTGCAGATGTAGTCTTCCTGTGTGGAGTCTCCCATGTTTATCTGCTTGAAGAAGGTACATAACTAAGATCCTACACTGAAGGAATCTGATTGGGCTATGCACCAAATATGCCTTCCTTTGAGAGCTGGTGATGGAAAGTCACCAAAAGTTGAGCAACTTGGGTACCATGGCCACAGAATAGCCCAGGTTGAATAAATGGCCAGCAGGCGGGGCAGGGAGGCCAAGGCCTCAGCGTTGTCTGCCTCTGTAGATACCAATGGCAGGTGCTCCTTCCTTCCTGAGCAAACTAGAGTCATGGATTTGCATAATTCAGCAAGAATCTCAAGGGACAGCAGAGACGTCTTGACTTTTTTCTTTCTCTGAAAGTAGCATTGTTGATCTAGGAAAAGTACGTGGGAAACAGAGCAGAGCCAGGGTCAGGGTGTTTGCCTTGGTTTCCTTCAAATATTCACAACTGAAGGGAGGAAGGGTTGGTTCTGGCTCACAGGTCCAGGATGGAGTCCACCATGGTAGGGGAGTCCAGAGGCAGGAGCTTGAAGCAGCTTATCAGACTGGGCCTGAGTCAGGGAGCAGAGAATGATAAACACTGTGTGAAGGCTCGGTTCCCCCTCTTCACCTTATCCAGACCATCAGCTTCCTCCCAGAGAATGGGACCGTCTACAGCTGAGATGCGTCTCCTCGCATCAGGTAATGTGAGATCATCCCAACAGGCATGTCCTGTGTCTTAGGGTTTCCATTACTGTGATGAAACACCATGACCAAAAAGCAAGTTGGGGAGGAAAGGGTTTCTTTGGCTTACACTTCCACATTGTAGTCCTTCACTGAAGGAAGCCAGGACAGGAACTCAGAGCAGGAACCTGGAGGCAGGAGCTGGTGCAGAGACCATGGAGGGGAGCTGCTTACTGGCTTGCTCTTTATGGCTTGCTCAGCCTGCTTTCTTACAGAACCAAGGACCACCAGCCCAGAGATGGCCTCACCCACAGTGGGTCCTCCCACCTTGATCACTAATTAAGAAAATGCCTTACAGGCTTGCTTGCAGGCTGATCTTATGGAGATATTTTCTTAATTGAGGTTCCCTCCTTTCAAATGACTTTAGCTTGTGTCAAGTTGACATAAAATTGCCCAGCACACCCTGAGCCCCATCTCCCAGGTGATTCTAGAGTCTGTCACATTGACAATGAACACTGCCACTAATCAGGATTCTAAAAACAGGTGTCAAACCTGCCTCTGTCCAAAGCTCTATGTGAGACCCTGTTCTGGAAAGGCATAGTTTAGGAAACTTTTTGATGAATAAAAGTACAAATCATGAAAAAAAATGTTTCATCTACAGGTCTGGGCTCACAGATTTAGAATAGAATATAAAATACTTACAATAAAGATGAGTATCTGTCAGGGCCAGTGTACTGACACATTCCTGCAACGTATCACTCAGTGGAGGCAGGGTGATGGTGAATTTGAAGCAAGCCTGGGCTACACAGTGATGCTGTCTTAAACATGAGTGAATGAATAAGAGGCTCTATCTCAAGCCCAAGAGGAGAGTAGGGAAGGACTCATTTAGATCCTTCAAATAGGGTTTCTTGGATACTAGAGGAACCTTGCCTACAGTTTCGTTTTGATCCCACTTAGACCTTGGAAGAAGGAAGAGATTTGTCCGTTCACATAGAAAAGTAGCAGAGTATGATTAGTGTGGGCAGAGGCCGTACACCTGTATGCTTTTCTTCATGCCTCTATGTGAACTACAAATGGTCCTCTCTCAATTCTCCAGCCTGTATTTCCTACATCAAATAAGAAGTTGGAGGTGTGGATACAGAGTATTCTTTCTGTAGCCTCCGAACCATAGTGTGCTCAGAGACACGTGGAGTTCATTTTCTACAAGATCTTGGCATGAGACTAGCACACATACATGGTTTCATATCTCAAACCCTTGCCTCATTGGGTTGAACAAACAAAGACCCACAGGACATGCCCAGGAGCACACAGTTGGTACTTCCCACAGCCCTGGAAGTCTGCCCTCTGGACCAGCTCTTCTCTATGAATGAAATTTAGGATAAATCTTGTGACTTTTCCAGTTCCTTTCATGTTACAAAATGTTCTTATTCAACAGCTAATGTGCTCGGGTGGGTGAGATATCCAACCACGTTTCCCTCAGAGATCTTACTCCTGTGTTGTCGGTTTCCAGCTTAGCTTCCTGCAGGTCACCTGCCTGTGGTGGTGAAGGTGGGCATGGTTGGATTCTCCACCCCTCCCACACCCGGCAAATCCTGATTGATTTCTGAACCCCTCACAGCCGTGTGGGGGAGGAGGAGAGGAAAGGACAGCTGTGCTCTGCTGTAGGTTGGCATTGGTTCCCTGTTTCTGACAAGTGTTTGGTTGCTCTTGAGTGGGCTCTCTGGTCCCCTTACCATCTCTCACCCACATGCTTCTTGGCGTGGACAAATATTTGCTGCTCTTTTCTAGGTAGGCATCTACATTTCTTTGGGGGGGGCAACTCTTCTCTCTCTCTCTCTCTCTCTCTCTCTCTCTCTCTCTCTCTCTCTCTCTCTCTCTCTCTCGTCCTAGGGTGTCATGGCCTTGATTTGGACATGCTAGGCAAGTATTGAGCCACACCCCCAACCCTGGATTTTTCAGGCAAGATCTAGAACTTGTGGTCCTCATGACTCCTGTATGAAATCCCAGGAGAGTGCCAGGATGAAGCCTGCCCTACAGCATGGACCTAAGGTGTTCCTGCAGCTCTCTCCAGATGGCCACTTCTGTTTCTTGAGAAGCGTACATTCTTTGCCGCAACAATCTCAGCACACATGCTGACCTCTGCAGGGTACCCCTCTTTTCCTCTGCCGGCTGACTGTGGTCTTTCAGGTTTTCCAGGGGACTCGGAGAGTAATTGAGTGTATAGCCCAAGCTCCAGAGGACAGAGAGCAAACTATTCACACGGCCACATTAAAGCCATTGGGAAGAGACTGATACTTCTCTTCATAGTTTGGCTTCTAGTCAAGCTTATGGTCAGTCTCAGTCTTGTTCACACACTAAATGTGGATAAACATTTACTGGAGAAAAACTGGAGACTCTCTCTCTCTGTGTAGGATATAACATTTATTGATGAACATGATTAATGGGGGGAATGCAATGGGAACCCTCAAAGCACAGAGCCTGACATTTATCTACAGGATCCATGACTGGGGATGTATTTGCCCTCATAACCACCATGAATGAATTTCTGGTGAAGCCCACTTCGAGATTTGGTTCTCCTGGCATCCAGGGGACCTGAAGTCGGCCTTTCACCAGGCAATGGTGACATGTCTTTTTCTCTGCAGATTGGTGCAGTTGGACATGATGATGTGACCATTGTGAACCCTGGCTACTGGCCCTGGGGCTTCCCAAGGGCAGCCATATACCTGTCTGATTCTGCCAGCTCCCACACGGGACAGTAAAGGATGCTGAAAAGGTGGAGCTGTGCTCCAATACAAAAGCTATCTTCCTGATAACTTTACTGTTTACTTAGGGGCATGGCTGCAGGTGACCTCCAGGGCTTTGAGCAGAATTGCTTGTAGTCATCTGACACCATGGAGCCACAAAGTGGGAACTGGTCCTCTTTTGCCTTCTGTCCCAAGTCAATGAAGCAGATCTTAGCATCCGTGACACTTCAGCAGAACAGAAGAGACGTTGGGTACCACTTGTTGGTAACATCGGGATCATCCATGCTGTGACAAAGAACAAGAGTATATTAGTTACTTTCTGTTGCTGATAGAACACCATGACCAAGGCAGCACATATAAGAAAGCATTTAATAATTGGGGTTATGGTTTCGGACTGTGGAGTCCGTGATGGCAGGGCAAAGGCATGGTGACAGGAACAGCTGAGATGTCACATCTCAAACTGAAAGCAGGAGGCCTCACTGGGAATAGCATGAGTCTTCTGAAACCTCAAAGCCTACCCCTAGTGACACACTTCCTCCCAAAAGGCCACACCTTCTGATCCTTCCCAAGCAGTTCCACCAACTGGCAACCAAGCATTCAAACCTATGAGCCTACGTGAGCCATTCTCATTCCAACCACAACAAGGAATTCCACCGTCACTTTTTGTAATGTTTCCCTAATGGCTGCTGTCTTCCAGCCTTAGCCCAAGTCCAACTGAAACAGTCTTGTTTTAACATCTTTTCCCAGAGAGGACCAGAAGCCTTCCTCAAAGATGAGAGCTGGTTTCTTTCTGAGTCAACCTTGAAGAAATGACATTAGCTGTGCTCATGAGCCCTTCCCCGATTCAAGATGACTTACAAAAAAACCAGGTTGATCCAAGTCAGCCAGTCCATGTCTCTGATACCTCCTACCCTGGAAGCTGCAGAGCTGAACACCTGCTCTGAACCTCTTTACTGGGCCATTTTCAATTTTTCCCAAGTCTATTTAGTGTGTGTATGTATATAGTTTATTTAGGGTGTGTATGTATATAGTTTAGTGTGTGTATGTATATAGTTTATTTAGTGTGTGTATGTATATAGTTTATTTAGTGTGTGTGGGGTGGGGCTGTACTGGTTAGTTTTAGGTCAACTTGACACAAGCTAGAGTCATCTGAAAGGAGGGAGCCTCAATTGAGAAAATATTCCCACAAGATCTGGCTGT